ACAGGAGAAGCAGCAAATAAAAGTGAAATTGCTGATTGAAATATTACAAAAGAAAAATAAATATATATAAAACAATAATAGCAAATCTTATATTTTATAGAGATGATAATAAAAATAGTAAATTGTTTTTGTTTTTTTTTTTCTAAATTTTCAACGTTAATCATTAAATTATTTCATTCATTCATCTCTACTAAAAACTAAAAACTACAAAAATATTATCTTTTTAAACACACTTCACACTCATTTCAAATGTGTGTGAAGTTTGTATGTGTGTATGCACTTCACTGCCCCTTTTTCCTTATCACATAACAGCACATTTCGCTGAAGTATTGACATACATATGTATGTACATATAAGCCAGCGAGTATACTTGTTTCTGAGTTTTCGAGTTTCGAAATTAAGCGACTTGACCGGCTTTATTTGAAGTAATGTATACATATGTGCACATTATATATATGTAAATATGTATATATGCATATATGTTTGTATACATGTATGTATGTGTGTGCAAGTAAGCCAGGAAGCCGATGATGTCAGCATACGTTTTTCTAATTTGCGTTGAGAGCTGAGCTGAACTGAGCCAAGCTGATTGCTTAGCACTCTAAAGTACACAGTACACTTTGTATGTACAATACATATGTACAAATATAGTCATAATTAATTATATATAAGTAAATATGTATTGTAGATATGCATTAAATTTGTTTTCACATAATTTTAGTTTAAATAAACATAAAAATGTATAAATTAAGCTTGACAAAAATAACTATGTCCTCAGAAAAAGATTAGACTAATCTTTTAACCACATATGGACGCATGTAGATATGTATATGCATATATAGAATAAAAATATGTTTTTTTTTTTATTTTTTTGTGTTAAGTCCAATGAAATTTAAATTTCTTTGATAAATTTTACATTTTAAAAGCCTGTCAAATGCCAATAAAGAAACTCCAGAATCCGCGTAATTTAAGATAGTTCGGCGTTCTTCTTCACTGGCTCCGGCGCCGCTTACCCGATTATAGCCGAGGTAAAAACATTGTGCCATTCATTCCTTCGAGAGGGTGCGGCATACGTAGCTAAGATCACCGGTTGGGTCCCAGGTTTCGGATAGTGAACGGCTTTTCCATGTAGAGGTTAGCCGTAAATAGCTGTTACACAAAGGAGCAGTCCGTCCTTGTAACGGATGATCAGCTATGGTATGGTAGTGTTGTTGTTGTTGTTGTTGTTGTTGTAGCGGTTCACCAGCCCTGCTTAAGGAGAGGTTAATTAGTCTAAGTAACCGAGGTCATCTAACGGGAGGTCCAGGAAACAAGCTGTTTCGACGAGTTCAGACCAGAGGGAGGGTGGGATTAGATGCGTCGGCTTCGGGGGACATGTAAAGAGCTGGTTAGTGTCGAGCGAGGACTCATTACATTTAGAACATGCATAAGCGCGTTGGGTATGTTGAAATCGAGTCTGAATAAGTACGAGTTTAGCTTGCTACAATATCCATACCTAGGTGGCGCCAGTGTGGTGATCTAATGATGTGTTAGTGACGGGTATCGCTGCGTCTTTAACACAAAACTCCAAATTGCCAGCTTCTGGCACTGACAAGGCGAGTTTAAATAAGTAATATATACTTAACCTCAATTTTGAGAGATATTCCCTAGACTTCAGACTTGCCTTGACCAAGCTTGGATAATATACCGCCTAACGTTGGCGACTGCCGCAAATGATAATGAACTACGAGTTGAGGACATGCACCTGGAATATCCAGACTCTTAATACTTGAGCTGGCCCGATACAATTGACGAAAGCTCTCAGAATGATATACCGCTATCCACGAAATGAGTTGGACAGGGTGGAGCTATTCCAAAGAAGATACCTGCAATATCAAAAATATGGATGGTAACAGCCGCGAACATGGATTCGGAGGCTTGGAAAGTTGGGGGGTTCCTTCACATTAATGAACTGTCCTAGTCAAGCCTAAGTTTTTTAGAGTTAGCCTAAACCACTCGCCCTTTGTAACGCTACTGTTAAGGAAGTGTACCTAGCCCAACACGTGATAGTTATCCTTGGTGTCTTCAACGCTATGGTAGAGCTGCAACGCATATTTAATCCCACCATAGGTTAATGCGGCCGCCACGAAGCACCCTGGAACAACGGTCTAAGGCTGATCGACTTCCACTCGGCGCATGGTTTGATTTTCTGCTAAGTAACATGATGCAGCGAAGGTAGATCTGACGGTAAGGGAGAGCTAACTGGAAATAGACATGCGCATCGACTAGGATCCCTTATTACAGCGAGCTAACACTGGCAATGACATCGGCCTGGAGATTAAGTGAAGATTCCTACTTTTCAATAGGTTTCCTACTTACAGTAACCAAGTGAGCAGTAGAGCCCTGGCACGACCGACGAAAGTAATGTTTTGAGAGAAGCTTATTTTGCCGTTATTCTGGTACGTTGCATAATCCAAAGCTCTATCACTGAAGCAGCCGCGTCGAGAGAAAAATACTCAGCAAAATGTTCGGTCCCGTTCGTTTTGGTGGCGACTATCATATTTGCATGAACTACGACCTATACAAACTCTACGACGAATCTGATATTGTATAGTGCATCACAATACAAAGTCGGCATTGATTCGAATATGTTGAAATTAATGTATGGACGAAGAAGCTCCAGCGAAGAAGGTGTTCGAAACTTTGTTCGAGGACTTTGATGGAAAGACCAAGTTGAGGGGAGGCTACACATGTTTGGTGTAATGAATTGAGGAAATAGCGGGTCACATAGAGGTAACTGGCGAGAACTAACGTAGTCGGCCGTATTTGCCGTAGGTAGTGATGCAGAGATCAGTAGAGATAACTCCTGACTCCTGACTTTCAGTTAAAGAGGACTAGAATTTTGAAAAAATCGAAAAAAAACATGTTTGTTTTAAAAGGTGAGTTGGAATCTTAGAAATAACATGCCAAAAGAGTATAGAGTTTTCGCTTTTCTTGAGAGTTAGAAACTAAGCTTTAGGATGATAAGAGTTATATGAGGATACTCGTCGCTCCTATTCTGTCTTTAAAAAATATAATTATTTACACGACTACATATTTATAATGTTCATTTTGGTAAGACCATAATAATCTGACAAGTTGCTTGCTTATTGAGTAAGTAGTTACATATTAATTATAAAAATTTACGGGTTTGAAAATGTATCGGTGTACAACTTAGCTTCCGCGGTTTTCCGACGGCTGTGGCTGGTTGAAATACATAGATGATAATGCCTTTAAAGTGAGTGTGGACAGAGCTTAACGAATTGTCATCTCTCGCTTCAGTGACAGTTGTTCTTGTTTTCGTATTATTCACGCTCGAAAATGTCCGTTTATGTGCCTAATTCTCGCCATTTGCGAGAAGTTTTACTTTTCTGTTACAATTCGAAAAAATGCAGCTGAAGAGCATCGAATGCTCTCAGAAACTTACGGTGATGCTGATCTCACTGAAAGAACGTGTCAGGAGTGGTTTCAACGTTTTAAAAATGGTGATTTCGATGTCGAAGACAAACATGGTGGTGGAAGAGAAAAAACCTTCAAAGATTTACTACGAGCTCTTAAAACCGGGTGAAACCATCGCAAGAGATCGCTACCGAACGCAAATGATGCGCCTTAATCGCGCGCTAAAAGAAAAGCGGTAACAATATCAAGAGCGACATGACAAAGTCATCCTCCAACACGACAATGCTCGGCCTCACGTAGCAAAAGTGGTCAAAAATTACCTGGAAACGCTGAAATGGGAAGCCTTGCCCCACCCGCGGTATTCCCCAGATGTCGCCTGTTCTGACTTCCACTTATTCCGTTCGATGGCACACGGCCTGGCAGATCAACATTTTCAATCCTTCGAAGAATTGGAAAAATGGATTGCTTCATGATAGCGTCAAAAGAGGACTACTTTTTTCGAGCCGGGATTCGAAAATTGCCGGAAAGATGGGAGAAAGTTGTCGCTAGCGAAGGACAATACTTTGAATAATTTATCTGTAAGCAATTTTTCGCAATAAAGCTTTTAATTTTGGAAAAAAAACGGCGGAAGCAAAGTTGTACACCGATTATATGTTACTGCCATAAGCAATTTGTATACATAAGTGAGATATTTTTGAGTTATAATCACAACAAAAATTGAATATTTAAAGGAGTTCTTATAGCTGCAGAGTAAAAAAAAAAGAAAATATTTTTTTTTATTATTATTTATTTACTACAATACCATATATTGTCGTATTCACTCTCTCTCTCTCTTTCTGTTAATTTATAAGATTACATTTTTCAATTTTATCTCAGCAAAGAAAAAACATTCCTCACTCGGCCCAGACAGAGGCAACGACCTAATCTGTCAAATGTAAATATTGTCATGCGTCACAAGCTGAAATGTGTGCTCATGTAAAAGAATTTAATACAACCCAAACAGCATGATACGAACGAAACAAAGCATAAATGTGTAGGTACATGTGTAATTATTGTTTAGTTTCCCGTAAAAATTTGTGACCAAAATAAAGCGTTCGAATACTTGTTTTCTCGCTAGAAAGCGATAGGAATGCGCTTAATATTTTTTTGAGACGAGGAAAGTATAATAGTACATACATATGCACATATGTATGTATGCAGTTAAAAAAAGTGTCCACCAAACATATTTAATTTTTGGATCTAAACATATATACATACATTTATGTACATATGTACGTATGTCGTTACGGAAATTGTATTTGAAAAAAAAAATTATTCTAGAGAATTGTATTAACTCTGATTAATTTATCATTTACGCGTAAGAACATGTATGGTCTATTGAATAAATATTACGAAGAACAGCTTTTGTAACCCGAATGGCTTTTAGAATATACACTCATACAAGCTCTTCAGCTTAGTCTTAAAAAAAAAAAACACTTAAATAATGAGTAATACTTAACCTAAATAATTATTATTCCATTTGCATACGTGTAAACTATTAATATTTTCTTCTTAATTGTTTTTTTTTTTTTAATTTGACTTACCAAAACTTTTGCGAATCGCCGATCCAACTCATCTGTGGTGGGCATCGGCTGTTGGCTTCGACTGCGTACGCTCGGTTGACGTACATGATGATACTGCGAACTCGAACCGATGTCATAATGTAAATCTTGTTTCTGTAGAAAACCACCACTAGCTGTGGTTATACCATTCTTATGTGAGTAATGGCCATTGCCATGATCATGATTATGACCGCCACCAGTTCCATGACCGCCCTCCTCTACCAGTACATCACTGGTAGATATATGACGTGAACTGACCGCGCCCATTATAGATGCTAAGCGACTAACGCTCGCACCACCACCGGGTCCTGGTCCGGATACGCCGGAGCCGCCACTGCTATCCGCCGATGATGTGACTGCACCACCACCTCCACTGCTGCCAAGCGCTGCGTTTAATGAGGATACAACGGCACCCCACACTGTCGTCTGGACAGTGCGGCAGAGTGCACGAGTTTTCTCCGGGCAACTTGATAGTTGCTCTTTTAAATCGTTGAACAGATCCAAAATTTATAATTTAGAAAAGCTTCGTTTTAAATACAACAATGGCAGTTATATTACTTTCGTTTATGGACGGTATCGGTTTGTATGGGCTTTTTTGCCTTTCCGTTTATTAAGCTGTTGTTGAAAACTGTAAGCTGCAAACATGTGTCGTTTTAGTACATTGGAAATATTTATGGGACTAAGGAGAGTTAGGCCGGGCCAACTTTGAATATTTTTTGTGTATTCACACTTAACTGCTGGAAAAGTCTTTGCCTTTGTAATTCTAAAAATTATACTTTATATTTGCCAATTTTTCACCAATTTTCTAACAAAATTTTGTTTATATATTTCTTTTTCACTTAATAATTTTTAACATAACTTTCTGTTTGTTTCAATTTAACATATAATTTTTAGACTTTTTTAATAATTTTCTCGAAAGCAAGTGTTGGATAATGATTGAAAAAAAGGGGGGAAAAATAGAATATATCCTTTTATTTTCAGAGAACTTATTAAATTATTATATAAAAAATGGTATCTAGTGATGCAATTCGTATTTGTATGTTTACTCCAGAATATCTGTGGCAAAACATTCTCAAATAATCGCCCAGGCAAATTACAAATTCTCCCTTCCTTTGGTGGAAAACGCCGGCAGTTGCATACACCACGGCCAGACAGCAGACAACGAGCTATAAGTACGAGTATATTGAATGCATCGCCTTTGTGTATCTCGCAAAACCGCTGTCTGGGTTTTATGTGTTGATGTGCATCAACCAAACGAAGTAAAATTTATACATATGTATGTATGTACATATGTTTTTTTTTTATGTAAAATGAGGATTTACCGAATTCGTTGGACCGATGAACTCGGTTTGCTTACGCACATATAATTTTCACAACCACCGAGAAATATGTAGCATTAATTTAAACACATTTACTTCACTTTTATTTCCAATTAAATATGCCTCCTTTACTGTCGTAGTGCTTAATCGGCAATTCGCAAATTTCAATTTACTCTTTTAGACTAATATATGTATATATATTGGGCTTATATGCTTTGCATTCGTATAAAAACGCATCACCGGCACCAATATCCACTTAATTCGTTTTTTTTTTTTAATTTCTTCCTTTTGGACAACAACAACAAGAATGAAAAACCACTATTTCTATCATTTATTATTTCATAAATAACTTCACCACTCCAAGACAAAACAAAGACTGGCAATTGGATTTCCGATTTCCAGAATTCAACTTGTATCTGTTGTATTCTCATTCGCGTCGCAAACGTCACTTTTTTGTTCATTTGTGGTGAGTTTATAATTGAACTGCCAGCAGAAGGCAATGACAGTTTCCAATCTGACAATAAACAGTGTTGCCGTTTCAGCCAATTGGGCCTACTCTTTTTATAACTGTTTTTTTTTATTCTTTCAAAGCCAACAAAATATTAATTATTGATAAAAACAAATTAAATAATTTCGAGTTATGAAATATATTATTTATTTTCATCAAAACCTAGTACGTAGATATATTTTTGCACTTCATTGGGCGTATGTTCGAACCCGCAAGATAGGATCCAATATGATCCAGCAAAAGTTCAAAATATATTAATAATGAAAGGTTTCTACAATTTATTTAATGCTTTGAAAATCTTTTTTTCAACAAAAATGCTTCTAACGACTCAAACAATCAATTGCTAATATATTTTTCATTGAATTTAAAATTTTACATATTATATACAAGTATCCTTCCATAAAAGCGCATAACTCAATAATTTGAACTGTTTGGTCTAAGGATATTTCTATGTCTTAATATTGTTGCGAAAATGCGAGGCGAATGTCAGATGAAAGAGAGAAGCCGATAACACAAGAACCTTCCATAGCGAACAATTCGATGCTTCTACGCTTTCGTCTGCGAGCAGCCGACTGCTATATAAAGGCGACACTCAGCTGCAAGTCAAGCAGTGACAAAGCAAATTGGTTGGCGTTAACATCAGTGAAGACGTAAAGTGAACGCGTTGGGAATTACATTTAAGTAGAGGAAATTGTGAAAGTTGATGTTAGTGATTATAAATAGTAGAGTGTATTGTAATTGTATTGTGAATTACTGAGAAAATAAATAACGACTCAAACAATCAATTGCTAATATATTTTTCATTAAATTTAAAATTTTTTATTATATACGAGTATCCTTCTATTTGGTCTAAGGATATTTCTATATCTTAATATTATAAACTTTACGCTTTCTTTAATTATTCAACATATGCTTAAAATCGTGCGAATTTTAAATCTACATAGTCGCACGAATTAACTTAAGATCCGATGAAATTCTTTCGTTTTCATCCAGATTCGAACTCAATTTCGAAACAGCTGATTGTTAAACATGTGACATTTAATAACAATTCTGCGTAAAATATTTTTGTGAATATGAACGTTTGAACTGTTTGTGCTTATTTAATATACCGAAATAATTGAAAAAAAAACATGAGCAAACTACAAAATGTAAGCTAATTATACTAAAAGTAAGCATTTACATTTACTTATTTTATATAACCGAAACCTGTTTGCCAGATTTTAGTTTTCTTAATTTTGTGCTAACAAATCGGGTGCCCGCAGCCGACTCTTTTCAAAACGGCAAAAAAAATGACGATTTCGATTTTAGGCATACGCAATATTATGGCGATTCGGTGTCTAGAAAGGAAAACGGGTGTAACTTGGGAGAATTTTTTTATATAGACATGTACGGTCAGGTAGGGAAGAAAAAATTCTGAAATTTTTTTTTTATATATGTTTGAAAATATCGAAATTTTTTTGTATTAGGAACTTGTAAATTTTTGAATATATTTTATTTGCTGCTAGAAACTCTGAAAAGGAAGCTACTTTTTCGCAAAATGTGTACACAATATTATAATGGAAAATGCAGCCCTGTATTTATTTTTATACACAAAAGTTTACCTCCTCACGCTCGAAAATTTATTATAAATTCTCTTTTCACGCTCTTTCACTGTCAGTGTTTTTTTGTTATTCCTACATTACACTTCATTCTCGGTGTACATTTTTACCAAAATAGAATTTGTCAATTACTTTTTAGCGCATTTTTAACTAAAGATATACAAAATGTCCCGAAATTATACATCGCCTTACGCCAAACCAGTGCAGCAATATAAATCTCAGACGGATGATTACATATCACTCGAAGTTGGTGGACCAGGAAAGTGTTCTACTCCAGCGCGGGCGTATTATAATAACAGTAATCCCAAAAGTGGCAATGGTAATTTTTATCAAAATAAACACAGGGGTCGTGGTTTCCAACAAAATCGGTTTTCCGGTGGCTGGTCAAACAACCGACACAGTAATGGTGGTTATGGTGGACAATGGCAACAACAGACACCACGCAGTGGTAATACAGCCGAGAGGCAATGGCGTGGTGGCGGGCAGAGGCAACAAAATAATGTATGTTAATAGAAAAAATGATTCAAATTACAAAAAAAAAATTAAATATTTCTTTTCAGAGACAAACTTTTAATAATCAAAATAATATAACGGCATATGTGCATTCATCCATGATCGAAGATCCTTGGAAAGACCTGATCGAGAGAAGAGAAGCAATAAGACGTAGTGAAATTAATTTATCTACAACCGCGGATCAAAATGAAGAAGTTCTTTCAGATTCGTTAAGTAGAGATGACAGCGAAAATGATGATGAAAGCGCTGAAGACAAGAATAAAGTTGTATCAGGGAATACATAATTACATATGTATAAAAAACCAACTAATTTATGTTTACTAAAAATTAGTAAAATTAAATTTAAAATCTAAGTTTTAAAAATGTTTGATTTTATACTTTGTATACATGGTCATTGTATGTTCCATTGTTTGTGTATATATACATCATGTAAGAAACATTAATAAATTATAGAAATACTTAAGGGAAAGAATTATTTGCTGATTTACTTTGTTTCTGGTATACGTCCTGGTGTCTAAATGTGCCCACATACATACAAATTCGTATGTACATATATTATAATACCCTTCAACCATTGAAAACATTTTTATATATATAAAACAGAACATTTTTTAATGTATTATAATTATGTCGAATAATTCTTAACATTCTTTGTTGATATCTTTGACAAATGTTAATCTTCCTCTTCTAGCAATTACATTTACAACTGAAATAAGCAACATAAAACGCACTACAAAACTGATACTTGTTCAAATTGCAAATTCAAGAACAACAAAGTTATAGAGTCATTTGAAATTTGAACATCGAAAATTGTTACATTGCCATGGGTAAGAATATTCTGTATTTAAATTGTATCTGTGCTTTAAATTTTTAATACTTGTTTGTTTGTTTGTTATTATTTTATCATATTTATTGATGTCATGACGTGAGATATGCTGCAGCAGCTTAAGCGTAATTCACTTAATTAGTACATTGACTAAGAATAGAAAAATATTGGTGGCGGGTTGGTGTTATGAACTTATTTGAATTATTATTATTTGTGTTGCCCTTGTTGTTTCTGTAAATATTTTTCCCACTCGCTACTTAAGTGATTATAAATTTTCATAGCAGCTCGCGCATCTTCCACAGAATTGTGTTCACCGGTCTGTATTTCCATACCTAAAATAGATTGGCTGAGTAATTTAAGGCTTGGCGTTCGTCCATTGGAAACGAGACGGCACAGTGGCTTATAGCGGGCAGTGTCGCGTATATTTTTATATGGATGTTTTATGTGTAACACGGCTAAATCGTTGCGTATGGCGTGGCCGACAAGAATTTTGCCTAAATAATGAATAAATTACGATTAAAAAAGCAAAGTTATTTTTGAATTAACATTTATGTTGAATACAAACCTTGGAGAAGCTCAACAACTTCATCTTGAACGGCATTAAAGTTTTCACCATCTTCAATGTCCGCAGGTCTAATGCCAGAAACGCTAGTTCTATAATCAATAACTTTTAACCATGGCTTAACAAATTTGTCCAATAAAACTTCGCCATTTCTATTTACGATTGATACTCGGGCTAACATATCATCTTGTCCGTTATGACCCACTCCTACCATCTCACAATCAATAGCAACATATTTATTACGTTGTGCTGCTTTGCGTCTTCGGCGTAATCGAGCTGATTTACTTAACGGTCTATTCTCGGAATCGGGGTGCTGATCATGGGTTGTGTTATGGTTAGTCTCGTGTTGTTGATCAAGGGAATTTCGACGCGAGCCCCATTGAGATCCGGAATTTTTGCGGCTTCTACAAACTTTTGGATTTTCTTTAGCCTCATTGCAGGATAACATTGATTGCATTTGACGCTGCAATTGCTCCATACACATTCCGACAATTGTCGGTTGTCCTTTATTTGTTGTTTTATTGCAGTGATCAGCTGTTTGTTGCAATGGTTTTTTCGCCTTCATGGCGTGGCATTCGGAGTGTTGCTGTTTTTGTTTTATAGAACCACCATCGCCTGCACATTCTTTATCGTGCATTTTTTGATTTTGTTGATTTCTTTTTTTCTTACTACAGGCAATGTTGGCATTTTGATTTGTTTGCTGCTGCGGTTTGTTATGTTGTTGAGGCATTGCTGTACTTTGTATACCTCGCCTCACTGAATTTTCGCCGGATGATTTTCAGAATTTTGCTGTTATTTCTTTGGGCACTCTTCTAATTTAAGTAGTAGCTATTTTATCAGATTTTTTTTAGTTTATGAGTTTTTTCTTTTCTATAAAAGTTAACTAAAAAACTAAGGAAAAATTAAAGTGCGTGTAATTTGACAGTTCACATTAGAGATGTAAAAGTCGACTTGCTTCGATGTGTGGTGCTATTCATCGATTGCTTAATAACTCCGATTACTACTCTATTCTATAATATAAGCAAAGAACGTATATTAATAAGAAGGGAAAAGAACTGTGAACCAATTTGAAAAATTTTGCTGAGGTGAATAGTGAGGTGCCACAGCGAGATTACACCAAAGAACGTATATTAATAAGAAGGGAAAAGAACTGTGAACTGTTCATTGAAGTGGCTCAGGTTTCACAGACGGAGTGAGTCCGCTTTGGACCTTCTTTCGCAAATTATTGTAAATTCACCTCGAAGGGGTAGTCTTCTTATTGTTACGATTTTACTGAATCAACCTCGATTATTTTCTAGATCCTTCGGGTACGATCTCTGGATTGTTAAATAAAAACTCGCCAACTTAGTTTGCAGTTTCTTTCGTTATAAAGATTCTATCTAATGTCCTTTATTCTCTCAGTAATTCACAATTCAATTATACTGCACTTTACTATTTATAATCACTAACATCAACTTTCACAATTTCCTCTACTTAAATGTAATTCCCTACGCGTTCACTTTACGTCTTCACTGATGTTAACGCCAACCAATTTGCTTTGTCACTGCTTGACTTGCAGCTGAGTGTCGCCTTTATATAGCAGTCGGCTGCTCGCAGACGAAAGCGTAGAAGCATCGAATTGTTCGCTATGGAAGGTTCTTGTTTTATCG